AAAAAACCTGAAAATAACAAGTGTGAGAGGGGATGTGGGGAATTGAGATCCTCATTCACCGCTGGTGGTAATGCAAAATGGTACAGCTATTGTGGAAAACATTCTGGTGTTTCCTAAAAAAATGAGAGCTAGAGCTGCCATATGACCCAGCAATTCCACTCCTAGGTATAAACCCTACGGATTTAATAGAAGTGACACAAACAGACACATGAACACCTATTTTCATTGCAGCACTATTCATAATAGCAAAAAGATGGAAATAACCTAAGTGCCCATCAACGGACAAATGGATTAGTAAAATGTGGTACATACATACAGTGGAATACTACTGAGGGATAAAGGAAAATGAGTTACCAAAACATCTTGAAACGTGGATGAACCTGGAGGACATTATTTGAGGGAAATAAGTCAATCACAAAAAAACATATATTGTATGCTCTCACTTTTATGAAATGACATGAACAAGTAAATATACTGAAAATAATGTTCATTAGTGGTTACCAGGGATGGGTGGCAGAGAAGAGGGGGATTCATTCTCTTGCTATTTTTGGTGATGGGAAAGGTAACACCAAATGAGGGTTAAGTGTATACAGCTTGACAAAGGTAAATGATATCACTAAAAAGTACACAAGAAAAAAGAATAAAGGGCAACTACAATATATACTATAGCATATACAATCCTACAACAACAGTAATAACAATAATTGACGAGTGGATACATAAGTAGATATGCATGCCAAATAGGAGTGGGAGGTCCTACCAGAATACGCCCGTGCACATAAATAAGTATAGCTGTGGATATTTCTACACACATATTTATATGTACTGCATGTTTATTCATATATATAATAGAGGACACAGGGGGCCCAGTTATGGAAACTTCTTAGACATAACCGCACAGGACTGAGATACTGGGATTGAAGGCCTAGGACCATAGTCTTGGAGGACTACTAGGTCAACTGGCATTAACAGAGTTTATAAAGATAATGTTCTACATCCTACTGTGGTGAGTAGCATCTGAGGTCTTAAAAGCTTGCGAGGGGTCATTTAAAATACAACTATTGGTCCCTTCCTGCCTGGAACAAAGGAGAGTGAAGAAAACCAAAGACTCAAGGAAGCAATTAGTCCAAAGGACTAATGGCCCACATGAACCACAGCCTCCATTAGCATGAAACCAGAAGAACTAGATGGTGCCCAGCTACCACTACCAACCTCTCTGACCAGGAAGGAACAAAATACAAGGTCCTAGTTAGAGTGGGAGAAAACATGTAGAACAAAACTCAAATTCATAAAAAAAGAACAGATTTACTAGTCTGATAGAGACCAGAGGAACCACTGAGACTACAACCCTAAGACACACTTCTAACGTGTAACTGAAGCCACTCCTGGAGATCACCTTTCAGTGAAATAATAGACAGGTCTATAAAATAAAAAATAACACCCGTGAGGAATGTGCTCCTTAGAACAATCAACTACATGAGACCAAAAGGACAACATTTACCCAAAACAAAGATGAAAAGGCAGGAAGTGGAAGGGAAACCAGACAAATGGAAACGGACCCCAGGGTGGAAATGGGGACAGTGCTGACACATTGCGGGGATTGCAACCCATGTCACGGAACAATTTGTGTATGAACTATTGAATGGGAAACTAATTTACTATGTAAACTTTCACCTAAAGCACAATAAAATGTTCAAACAAATAAATTTAAAAAAGCCATAGTATAAGGAATCAACAAAGCCAAAAGCACTGACCACTACTCTTCAAAAGCACCAAGGTCATGAATGACAAGAGAAGTATGAGGAACTCTCTCAGACTGGAGGAGACTAAGGAGATACAACAACTCAATGCATTGTGAGATACTGGATGGATACTGAAACAAACAAACCAAAAAAATGGCATTAGTGAAAAAACTGGCAAAATTCTAATAAGGTCTGAAGTTTAATTACTACTACTACTCTGTTCTTGATAACTGTACTGTAGTTATGTAACATGTCAATATTAGGGGAAGCGGGGTGAGGAATATAAGAAAACTATTTGTACTATTGTTGAACTTTTCTGTAAGTCTAAAATTAGTTATAAAAAGTTTTTTAAATGAGGATAAAATGAATCTGTTACAGCACTGGAAAAAATATATGTACATAGTTTTAAATATTAGAGTTCTACGAGGTTTAGTATGAAAAAAGGCGGCCTTTTGCCTCTAACCTTCATTAAATCAAGCTTGTTTGTGATTAACAGCAAGGGCTCTGAAATCAGACTTTTTTGGGTTTGAATCCTGGCCCTGCCACTGGTATGCTTTCAAGAAACGTTTCTCTTATAAGAATGGATTTGGACCATGCAGGGCCTGCAAACGGTTATCTGTTCTGGAGGAGACGTGTGTGTTCTTATTTGAGTAGAAAAGAGAGGTCGTTAGGAGAGCAGGCTCTTGAATCAGACTGCCTGAGTTCATATCTCAGCACTGTCACTTGCTGGCCACATGACAATAGGCAAGTGACTTAACTTCCCAACATTCCAGTTCCCTCATCAGTAAAATGTGGCTAATAATACGACCTACCCCATAAAGTTCTTATGAGGTTGAAATGAGATGATGTCTATAAAGTACTTAGATGAGTGCACAAGAGGTAGTAAGCTCTCAGTAAATGTCAACCATTTGTCCATGTCCAAGTATTGCATCAAGTGCACCCACTTCCACATTAAATCCCTACAAGAAACTTACAAGTGAGTGCTATTACAAGGAAAAGGTAAGGAAATGAGCTCAGAGAGAAGTCTACATATACTAGGTTAGAAAAGGAGAATGCAAGATGATTGGCAGATCCCAACTACAAATACGTAAAATGAAATTCACCTATAAATTTGTAATGATATGCATAATTAGAACTTCATGATCATTAAGTCCACTTTGTTTAGTCAAGATTCTTTGTTTTTTCAAGTAGAAGCATGCACGTGTGAGTTAGGAATCGAGTCTCATTGGCTTTACTGACCCATGTCCCTCCTTCCCCTCAGTAGGGCCCAGGTCATGTATTAAATGTCACTTGGGCACTGGCTTCTGACCAGCAATTACTTACCTGGAGGAGATAGAGGAGTCCTGGGACAAACAAGGTGAGTGGGTACAGAGACTGGTATGTTGCTAAGGCAAGAAAAACAGCACTGAGGAAGGCACTGCCTGTAAAAAGAAATAAATGTATGGAATAATACAGCCTCAGTAATCAGGATTAGACTCAGTGTGCCCCTATCAACATGAAACTTTCCATAACTGCTCAAATAATCACCTGCCAAATGCCTCCCGGTGCACAAGGCACTATGCAAACACACCCAGGGTGAGAGCTTCTTGGCTTGATTTCTGATGAAAGGAAAACAAGCAAGTCAAAACTATCTACCTTTAGCAACCTGAGGCACCACAGGTATATCGCTTGTAAAATTTTCAGACACAGGAAGATTTTACAAAACTTCAGCCTAAAGATGTATACTGTAGTTTTTTTGTGTGTGCGCCTTCTAAGTGTGCTTGCCCTCCTCTTTCGAGGTACTTTCGAAAGTGTGCTATGCTAAAGGGTGGGGTGGGGGGGAGCTGTCAGCAAACAAACATAGAAAGTACCCATTATTTGCATAAAAATACAGTAAAGGAATCAAGCCTATTAACAGCCATGTCCTTTTTAACTTAATAATTTATTAAGCCTACAAGTATTGCTTATGGTAGTTAGAATTGTGAAACCTATCTTTTGGATGTTACAACATCCTATCACTATTTTTACAACACCCCTTCCTTCTGTACTATCTTCAGGTTATGTGATTTAAAAAAAAAAAAATTGAAGTGTCTTAATTTTCATTCATAAAGTCCTAATTCCAAACAAAATGGTCTACTGTTGAATCGTTAAATGTGATGTTATAAAAGAATTTTCAATGACATGGAAAGCTGTTTCTAACATACTATTAAGTGAAGGTTATAAAAGAGATACACACTATTCTCTCTTTAAAAAAAAAATGCACAAACACACACACAAAAAAAGACTCAAAGGCTAGGCACCACAAAATTCACAGTGGTTACCTCTGTGTGGTGGGATTGTGGGTGATTTTTCATTTTTGCTTCTGGATATATTCTAAACTTTCTATAATGAACATGCTTTGTTTAAATCATAAGAAAAAAACTGATTTCTTTTTTTAAAAAATTAAATAGTTATTCCCTTTGAGATGACTTAAGACAACAAGGCACCCTAAAACCAAGGCTAGAGAACCCTACTTTATAACAGGGGATTCAAAGGGTGGCCAAGACATCACTAGGATGCAACTGATGGTCAAAGGCTGGTGTCTTATAATGATAATGTTTCATAAAATGACAATACCCATGGTCATTCTCAACAGTGTTGGGTCAACTGCCTACTGAAAATAGCAGACATCCTTTCAGTGATTTTTTACAAAAGGAAGAATTAGTCACTCCATTCAGTTCAAGGAGTTTTACCCCTCCCTTAACCTGGCTCCAAACAGAAGGAGAAGATCCATAGAATCTTTTCCTCACCAAAGTGGTCTACATACTTGAAACATCTAAGAGCCACCTCAGAAGAGGGAAGGTTACAAATGTGACCACTTCAGAGAAGAGGGAGCAAGGAGAAAAGAACTTTCGAGTGTTCCATCCCTCAAACCAAAGAATCTCACCAGCTAGGAACAATTCTCAGTTGAAAGAAAGTGGAAGAAAGGCAGAGAAAGGAGGAAGCTGGAAGTCAAAGACCAAGGACAGAATTCGATGGGGTGGGGCTGTCTTGCCATACTGATTAGTGCCAGACATCATGTCCCGTAACCAGGGTACTACTCATAAATATGACTGAGCAGAGACAGGATCATGCCCAGCCAAGACAGGCCACCAACAGAGGCCCCCACACACCTGCTGAGCTATAGAATCCTAGAACTAGAACCAGGTCACTCAAAGACAGAGAGATGGCAATAGTGGGAAGGGTGTTTTGAAGCCCAACAGCTAGGGTGGACTCAAGATTCCCTGATTCAGCCAAAAATCTGAATGACATTTTGTGGGAAACGGGCTAAGAAAGGAAAAAACTGGAATTAAACTTTTTAATTTAACATGGTTTTCTACAGGGTTGTGGGTGGGGGACAGAATAGATGCTGTATCTGGTACCAGAGGAGGGAGGCTAATGTGCCAACTCCATCCACTCTTACAAATGTGTTAAAAACAAACAGGTGACTTTGACCTCTCTCTCCCCCAGGAGACACCAGGGAGTGAAATAAACACAGCCACCTTCTACCCTAATTGCCAAAGATCAATACTTATTTGCCTGGAGCAGTTGACTGTTTATTAAGGCCCAAGAGAGAAGAAAAGGCTCATACCTAACAGAATGGACTCGTGAGTTTTAGAATAATGGCATCCAGGATCAGGAAGAAACAATCTTTCTTCCTTGGGTGAAATCTTTAGAAGGAAAAATCCTCCTGCTATTCCCTCTGTCAGTAAGTGGCATCGACATCCACCCAGATACCCCAGCTAGTCTTCACCCCTTAGGTTCCCACATTCTTACACCAGTCACCATGCCCTTCTAATCTACCTCTGGAACATCCATCACTTCAGCTCTTGCTTTCATCATCTCTCCCCAGGAGTTTTTCAACAGCCTCCTCCTCCTCCTCAGCGGTCTCCTCAACTCCCTCCCATCTAGTCAATCTGCCAAGGAAGCACCAGAAGGATCCTTTTAAAACAGTTTAGATTGTGACAAGCCCCTCTTTAAAGACTTCTGATGGTTCCACCTCACCTATCAGAGTTAAGTCCAAACTCCAACAGCCAACAATCTCATTTACCAGTCGGGTATAAGCTCTCCAGCTTCACCTCTCAGCATTCTCCCACACATATCCTGTCCTCTACCTACACTGGATCATTCCTCCATTTCTGAAAACATCATTCCCTTTCATTCTTTTGTGTCTGCTCTTACGCCATTCCCTTTGCCTAAACTGTCCTGCTAGTAGACACCCATCCTTCAATGGCCACTTGAAATACCACTTCCTCTATAAGGCCCAAGCAGAAGTGATCATAATAGTGATTATAGCCAACATTTACTGAGCACTTACTAGGTGCCAGGCACTGTACTAAGTTCCCTGCATTGAGAACACTGCCTGAATCAAAAAAGGCCCTCAGTAAATATCCCAACAACCTTGTGAAAACTCATTCTACTTATTTTTTGTAAAAGGTTTACTGAAATATAATTAATATATTATACCCATTTTGCAGGTGAAGAAACCAAGCCACAAAAAGGTTAAGAAATGTAACTAAAGCTACACAGCTGACCTCAGTGCCCATTCTCTTTAACCCCTGTGTTAATAAGCTTCATACTGATACTGTCTTGTAATAATTTGCTAATGTTTCTCTCTTTCTCCACTTGTCTTTGAGTTTCTCAAGGGCAATAGCTTCTCTTAATTTTGAACTGCCAGCACCTAGCACAGTGCCTGGCACATTCAATGAATGAATGAGTACCATTCAGCCATATGTATGAAACCCTTAAAAAAAAATAAATATGAGCATATTAAAGGAAATCAATGTTTTTGAAAAAAGAAAACTCATGAAGAATAAAACACAAAGTAATGAAATATGGGCAAAGCACAAAATAAATCTGGCTCTTGAATAAAAACAAAGCCTTCAGTATAGCAGTTAAGGACTAGTGACAGGGAGCCATGCAGGTACAGAATGCTCTCTGTAAACTGTTGGATGGCTCAGGCCTGCAGTCCGGGGGCAGAAACATGGCGCTGCAACAGTCAGGAGCCTGGTATATGGAACGTCTGGGTGTGGGATGTTGGGGCAGGTGTGGATGGGGCACAAGCAGTCTCAGCAAAAGTGAGGGGGAGTCTGGAGGCACACGAGAGACTCACGGCTGATGTGTTTTGAAAAAACTAGAAGGGATAAGAAGAGTATGTTAGGATGGCAGAGAGGAGGAATGACATGTGCCTGGGGCAGGGGCAGGAAAGAGAAAAAAAAGTAAACGGTGACTTCAAATATTTTAGACAAGCTATGCAATAAGCAAACGTTTCTGGAGTGCCTGCTCTATGCGAAGCCCTATGCCAGGTGCCAGGGGGATTGGTGACTCAGTCTCTGTCCTCAGGGAGCTCCCAGTAAACAATTAGGAAGTGCAGTAGGAAAGCCCAAAGGAAGTATACCTAGCCCATCAGGAAACTGACACCTGAGTTTTGAACAATGAGTAGGTGAGGATGGGCAGTCCAAGGCAACAGCATGTACACAGGCAGAAGGACAAGAGAGAGAATGGTCAGCTGGGGTGGGGACTATAATTAGCACAACATGGCAAAAACAGGGTGCGAGCTGAGAAGAGTAACTGGAAGCGGGCGCAAAAGGGGCCTCTGGGGATATTGGTAACATTCTGTTTCTTAACCCTGATGCTGGTTACTCCTATTCTGGGACAATTCCTTGAAGTGTACACTAATGATCTGTATACTTTCCCATATATGCTATACTTCAGTAAAAAATTACAAATCTAAAAAACTTCAACAAGCAGGTAGGCGCCAGATCATGGAGGACTTACACATGCATCCAAAAACATCTACCTACAGGCCTAGCCAGGACATTGGAAATAAGGCCTGAAATGGAAGCCTCACACAGGCAAGAGTTAGGGCATTCTGCTGACCCAATCTTGGGAAATTGTGCCAGGAGGACTGTGAGTTTAAAAACAAAACAAAACAAAATGATATAATCTACCAATTATCTGCTAGTACAAGACAGATGCTCAGGCACTAGGTTTTCTGTACAAGCCCCTGGTTCTTGGCCTTATCACAGCAATATTAAAGTAAATTAGTCACAAATGCATGTGCACTGGCTAAAGTATCAGGGAATTTCATTACTTACCCAATCTAGCTTTGAATAATGTTTCCTAACTCTCTGTTTGTATCAGGGTGGGGGCCAAAATAAGCCTGGGCAAGACCTGGGGTAAGGTTTTGCTTCCAGGGACTGCACCTTGAAGTGATCTGGCACTGGGTGGATGGCACAGCTACAGTACAGAGTAGGAATGTAGATAAGGTGGGGCTGTAGGGACTAGTTCAGGATACGGACTCCAAATGAAGTGAGCAGAGAATCAAGGATTGGGTCACAGAGAATGAACTGTGTTAGGTTAGTCTGACAAAACTCTCCCTTAACCTGCTTCTCCCTTGGGTCCTAGGGTTCTCTGTAACCCT